AAAAATGAACTTGGATAATGCAATCTATTCGTGTTTTTTTTAATAAACCTCTTAGCTAATTATCGTAGATAGCCCACAGCTCGTTTATAAGATAGCTTATAACTTAAATGCAGTTGCCAAAAACCTACATAGCGCAGGCTCAGGCGGTTTTGTAGATACTGCTTGGTAACATACTGGCATTCTTCTTTAATGAGATTATCTAAATCCTTCTAACTATCTAAAAAAACTGTCCTTGTACGTAATGAGGGTTCCTAAAAAACAATAAAGTTTAGTCTTTTTTTAGTTTTTTATTATAAAGTTTTTTTATGGTATACGTCGCAAACGAACAAACGGGTAACCGCTTATGGACACCTACAAATCAAGAGTCATATATGTGCTTTGCGGCCCTTTGAGTTCCCTCCACAGACAGAGGGAGAAGGGGAGAGAGGGTTGGGTTAAGTATTACTGTCTTCTTATTACTGTTTGTTTTATCAAGTTGCTAAAATAGTTATTGACTTGAACTAATAGTTGATGTAATAGTTGAACTGAATACTTATTGATTAGTTTGTAAACATTTATGGGGTGTCCTTTTAATCTCATATTTAAATTCTTTCAACCAAATTTGGTTTGGTTTGGTTACTGTTATATTTGTCGTAAGTAAGAGTCTTGGTGAGAATAGAGTTTGATAAACTTTTTGATGTTAATTTCTATAATTATAGCAGAATTGACTGCTTCGTTGGCGCATTAGCGTATGCGACTACTGTGCTGAGGTATCGGGTTCCTTTGTCAGACCAAATGTTTGTATGATCTGCAAATGTATAATATGTATGGATTTAAAAAAAATGTAGGTATTCTACAAGTCAACCTAGCGTTCATAGTACAACGTTTAATTAGTTTGAAACTAGATGGCGTTGTGTAAGATGTCCAAAAAAAACTATGTAGAAACATTCCTGAGTGGTGTACGCCTCTGACTGCATTTTCTGGAATACCAGCAATAATGTATATATGTATACAGTTTTATTTAAAGATAGAAGGTTTAACTCACATGTTTCGGTAATATTCGTCTAGCTTTGAATATGGTACGGTGCTATTTATGAAGAGGTTACCTTCCGCTTTGTTGTCAGCTGCTGGTCAGTGCAGAGTATAGGAAATCCAGTCGGGTATCCCCGAAATACATACGTGACTTAAATGGTAGAAGTTTCTTAAATATAAATTATAACGCAGACATTTGATGGAGTTATCATAACCGTTATATTGCATACCAAACACTATAGTTTAACTTTGGCAGAAATTGCGATAGTCTATTTAAGATTGAGAATAAAGTAAGACAAATATATAATGCTTAGACCCAGAAATAGCTTCGTGGACAGTGACAAGGACAATCTAGAAAAATGAGAAACTCCAGTGTTATTTCTTTCATCTTGCGTAATGGCAATTTTATCGAACTTGTGTTTTATTGAATCTAATTGGGATTAAGTTCTGAACTGTTTTTCCTCAATGCTATTACGGAACCTTGGGTCTAGACGCGGTCAATTATCAGTCTTTTAACATAATTTTTATTGCTGTCTGTTCCTTATCATTAACGGAAGATTTTTTGTCCACGTGTTTTATAATTAAGCAATAGTATTATGGTATCATCCAAAAAAATCGAATTCTTGAACTAGATTTCAGAATGTATCTGCATCAATCATCAACAGCCCATAACAGTCCACTGCTGGACATAGGCCCCTCCTTAGAAAGGAGGTTTTGGCCTACTATACCACTGGCCAGACGGGTTGATATAGGATTTGTTTCAAGTTTTCCTTCTCTTTGCAGTAGTGTTGTCCTGCGTAGTTTGCTCCCTTAGTCGGCTCTTACGACACCCACGGGATGAATAGGGATGGTGACATTTCCTATTCTTAATCCGTCACCTCACGGATTGTATCTTAGTTAAATGTAAATAGTTTTAATTAGTTTATAACAAGAATGTAGAACTATTTAATCATATGAAACTAATGTTTTATGCGGTTGCGGAGTGCGTTTTGCAGTATGTATATTATAATATTAATGCGTATATAAACTACTTACAAACCGGGATTTGTGATTAGAAATATACGCAAAATACACTTTTTTTAATGTGTACTGGTATTCGCTTATCCTTTTTATTACCCTTTACTACTCACTCTGTTTAACGGCAGTTTAAGTATCACTGAACGCTACTTAATCCTCGCAGGAAACTTCTGTAATATCATGAAACTTCTTCAATATTCTATTTGATAATATTATATAGTAATATTCTATTGTTGGCAGACATCAAACAAACTTATATAGTGTTTAACAATTTGTGCGATTCACGAATTGTTTGTCTGAGTTTAGGTGTTCTTTGTGTCCATTTCATAATTGTTTGTAAAGTCCCCCGCGATACAGGATATATTCCTAGTGCGGGAGTTGACTTTTTAAAAAAGAAAGAAAAAATAGAGTTGAAAAACTCGTGTTCGCCAGAATATGCATGAACATTCAGCCTATATACATGGGCATGAAACCAAATTTTACATTATCTTCCTTTCAGGAGATTAAAATAGAGTATACTCAGAATACCTGAGTTATTTAAGATTACAGAACTTTTACAAATTTGCAAATGAAAATGTACTCTTATGAATGACTCTTGAGCAGGTGTTAATATACTTATAAAGGGTATCACTTCAACTGGAATTTAGTTACTACTAAACACAATACTTACCAGGAGTCTTTAAAACTCATTCTCTTTAGAGTATTATAATGGTAATTTTCTGTCTAAAAGTAGCTTTCAACCAGTTCATTTACATGCAAGCCGGCCACTTCACATTCCCAAGTTAAATTAACCAGAAATAATAACCATGTTTTTATTTCATCGGAAGTTTAAATAGAAATTTTAAACAAAATGTTGCTCTGCTACTGAATCGTGGAAGAGCCATATTTTTGCACGTATGGCCCAGGCTTGACCGGACTGATATCATGACTTTACAGAAAAATCATTATTATGCAAAAAAAATTCTTTTTTTTTTTCATCGGGTGTTGACAAATGACTATACGGATGGCGTAGGGGTTTAAGCGGTCACTTACTACTAAGCTAAGTGTTGTGGGTTCGTTCCCCGCATGGGACGACACTTTGTGTGATCCACAAATTGTTGTTCTGAGTCTGGCTGTTCTTTGTGTCCGTTTTATGTATGTTTGTCAAGTCCCCCGCGACACAGGATATATTCCTAATGCGGGAGTTGTCTTTATAAAAATGGGAGGGTACTTAAAAAGCGGTAATCCACTTGTGACTCTTTTGTGACTCCATGTGGTGACGGATTAAGAATACGGAGGGTCATCACTCCTACTCATCCCGTGGGTGTCATAAGAGCCGATTAAGGGAGCAAACTATGCAGGACAACAGCACTGCAAAGAGAATGAAAACTTGAAACAAACCCTATACCAACCCGTCTGGCTAGCGTGGTCTAGTAGGCCAAAACCTCCTTCCAAAGAAAAGGCCTATGTCCAATAGTGGACTATGAAAGGCTGTTGATGATGATAATGATTCTGATAACTAATGATAATCAATTTATTGTACATAGTAGTCTAATTTAGATGACATTTTCTTGGATTTGTCGAATATTTTATTAAAATATTATTACTTCTAGAACAGATAAGATCTATCAAATTAGTCTAAACTCCAACATAAAGAAATACTTGTAGATTTTCTTGGGTTTTGACTACGAATAAAACTTTGTGTGTCATTTCATTAATTTTTTTATGTAAGTTTTTGACATGTTAATCCGTACTAGAAAGGCATAAAAGGGATAAATTAAAGCGGTACAATAATTTTAACCATGCAATACATCCAGTAGCTAATATGTAATTAAGTTATTAGACGCGTAAGTGTTGAGTGACAAATGGAAAATTGGTGTCCAATGTGACTTTGTAACGTTTAAATTATTTGCCAAATAGGGATAATTTTGTGTTCATGTATTTTGCACTCATATCTCATAATTTTATTCATCATTACGATATAACTGATAGGCTTATAACTATATTTGTTTGAAATCCTGATTGTTGAGGTAGTAGGGTCATTTCTCAGCCTGGATAAATTTTAATATCTATACAAATAAGTAAGTAAATAAGTAATAATAAGTGGCGTGCAATGGGAGAGGCCTATGTCCAGCAGTGGACTGCGATAGGCTGATGATGATGATGATACAAATAAGTAAAATTAAAGAGTCTGTCTGTAATGTCAAAATACTCGTAATGGGGTTTTTTCATTTCACACTGTTATTTACAAGATACCTATGCCTAAAACTAGTTTAATATTTTTTTGTCGATTTTGATAATATTCTACTACCTGGCTGTCTATATCAGGAGTAACTTAGCCTATTTTTCCTCTTAGAAAAACCCTATAAAATTTTGCCCGGTCCGTGCATCGAACCCGAGGCCTCGTGGACTGCAGTTGCGTACAGTACTTCACCACGAGGGCAGGGCTTTGCAAAGTCACGGGCACCAGCTAGTTGTGTCATAAGCATGATCGTTTGTTCAAAGTCTGATCAATAAAATAAATGTGCTCAAAAGATTTAGGCATCATGCATGTTCATCTGTTGTCTAGTCACCATAGTACTTGCTCTAACTAGTCTTTTATTTATTTATTTCTTTAAGAATCTTCAACAAGAATATCACATAGCATTCACAGATAATAATAAATTATTGATCTGGTGTATTCTTAATTACAGAAGGTCACAGCCTGCATTAAGAGTCAAATATAACATTTGGAATCAGAAATTCCTTAGTTTCAGATTAGAGGATCGTGTGTAAAACGTATCTAGTTATTGTCCATATTATTATAGCATCTTGTAACCTTGCTTTTACGTAAATATTTCTAGAAAAGTCTAATTAAATACTACCTGTGTCTGTATAAGAATAAATTTGTAACAACTTATAAAGGAAACCCATATCTCAGTGCCCTCATGTCGATGTTCAAAAGCATATAAAATGTCAATAAACCTTATCATTCTGGTTCGAGCCGTGTTGCAATGCGGTCGACTGAAATGTATATTAAAATAGTTTGTTTTGTGTTCTTATACAATACAGGGCTTGGGAAGTATGCTACAGGTGAATTAATACCGTCACACAATCGTGAGTAGTTTAGACTATAGACAGAAGGGTGACGATTGAACGAAACGCCTTAGACGTAAACTATTTTCTTCTGTTTTATGGTTGGTTGTTATAGTTACGACTTAGACAATACATGGTTTCTGTATATTGTCTAAGTCGTCATAATATGGCGTACAAACGTTGGCCATAACCATTAATTATTTCCAAAAATAGAAAAAGAATATTAAATACAGTTCCTGGAAGTCCAATTAAGTGTTAGGTTTCATATTTGCTCCGTGGTTTCATTTAAATTTATATACAAATATTATTTTTAAAGATTTTATATGTCATATTTGTAAATAAGGATGGCCTGGTGGTTTAAGTGGTCGCCAGGCCAAAAAAAAAACGAAACTGCAGAATCGTTCTAATGGGATGTCGATTCTCCAGTGTTTCAATTCAAACATCTTATAAACAAAGATTAAGATTTGAATAAATGAATGGTAAACGGGTCATACTCAGAAAAAATGTACATTCGGCACTTTTTTTTTGTCCCACTACTTTAATAGCAGATTTAAAATTTGAAAATTATGGCACATATTTTTAATCATGTTTAGTCTTAAATAGGATCTTTTTTTTATAAATAATAATAATATTTTCGTCAAATCATAGAATAAATATCATTAGGATTTTTTTATAAAATATCTTCCATACATTTTTTTAATGTCCCAATAACGATTTTTCTTAATAAAAGAGTAATTGTTACGACTATTATTCGACTTACATAAGATTGACTGTAGTCATTTAGGTCTCTTTTAGTTCATCATTTAAATAGTAATACGATTTATTCTTTAGAACGTTTAATAAAATTATTAAAGTTCATATTAATGTTGTCTCAAAATTATTACATTTCGTTACTCAGTGTTACTTACGTGCGTATAATTCTGAACGCAGTTGTTCGAAACTGACGGGAAATGATTTTCCTAATATTAAGAACATTGCTGCTTTTTATAATTCACCGTACATACAGAGGTAATTTTGTTTTCATCTGTACACGGGAGTCATTGTTTTGAATTCGCATTTGGAAAAAAATACTGTCAGGGTGATAAACGATTTGAATTTCGATAAGCATATACGATTGATTGTACTATTTTATGCCCACGTCTTAGTTATAATAATAAATAGACAAATAAATTCAGTTATTGTGTATACAATAAGTGGTACTAACAGAATTATTTTTCGGGGTTATAATTTCTCAGAGTTTGTCTTCAGTTTAGTTATATTGCGTTATGTTACGAAACTGAGAAATTGTAAAGCTGAGTTTACGAAGTTACTCTAATTTGAAAAAATAATTATTATCTGTTAAAATTTTATTACATTAATTGAGGGGAACAGAAGTGTAATCGTGGTACAATGAAAATGACGGGCTTGATTCCCGAACGTAACAATATATTTCTGTTGAACTAAAAAAAATATGATTGACTTATTATTTTACTATTTGTGTGGGTACTTGTACAGAGTAGTCAAGTATTTAGGATATTTTTTAATAATTTGTAATTTATCGAGAAAACTGTAATTTAATTTAATTTGTAACTACTAAACCTACAATTGCATATTATACTCGTACATACTGATTCAGACAATTGAGTTTTTTTTCATTATTTTGTAGTTGGTCCCCCATAATAATTGCAATCAAGCCTTTAGGCGTAATGAGTAATTTAAATTTATTAGCTAAAAAAATATAATATATTTAAAGAGTGCGTCCATTGCTACTTTTCTTATGGTTCCTACTCCAATGAAAATACACTTTTTACTTGTTCTTCAAGATTAGCACTCACTGCACTACGTCACACTAACTTAACTAAACAACTAAAAAGGCTTCTTCTAAAAAGGGTTCTTTAGTCTTAATGATATATTCGTATCATTGGAATATTCACTTATTCCCGTCGGGTAGGATGAGCCTGATTTAGATTTCTGAGATATTATGTTTTTATTTAGATTAATTATGCGTGTTCTGTTCAGTATGTACAATGCTTTACAATATCAGTTTCGTCACATTGATTCTCCATTTCGTTACTTATCAGTTTATTAACAAATGGCAAAGGTACATTTTTTCTGAGTATGACCCAAACATTTTCATAAAATTGAAAAAAAATGATATAAAATTGTGCGAAATTATAACTTCGGTTTTATGGTTGAATCGATGAAAAAGGTTACCTGTTCACATCTTTTTTTCTTAAAGACAACTCCCGCATTATGAATATATCCTGCGTTGCGGGGGACTTTTACACACATATTTGAAACGGACACAAAGAACACCTAGGCTCAGAACAACAATTTATGGATCACACTAAGTGGTGTCCCATGTCAGGATCGAACCGATAACACTCAGCGCAGAAGGAAGCGGCAATGTGAAGATCAAATATTTGCAGCGAATATTATTATACTTCCACACATAATACCTTAGTTTACTTTCACTTGGACACGGTGAACGTATCAGTTTGATCGTCGTACTCATTAATATTGTTTCTAATTGGTAAATTCTAATCTAATAGTTAAAAATAAACTTTTAACGTGAAGTAAACCTCACTAGTTCAATAATTGTTAAGTGATTTGGACTTTGCAGTGTGTATTTTTAGTATAATTAGGCGATAAGCAATAAATAAATTATAATTCTACCGACCATGACATTTTGTGCAAAGTGATATATTCGAACGCGTAAGCGACACTGTATATCGCGAACATACGACCTTTTTCTCGCGAGCGTGTTATGTATTGAGGTAACGGAGATGCAACTGATATAGTCGCTAACATTATTTTTGCGCACTATAAACTTAACAAATTGTGATACAAATACATTATGTCAACTGCGAAAACTATAAGTATGTCAACATCTGAAAGTACAACGGCTGGAAAGTCTCCTTCTCCTTCATGGGGTTGTTGCAGTCGGAAACTTAAAGGGAATAAACACGCCAAATGCAACAAATGTATGAAGATGTATCATTACGCCTGTCTATCTTTTATTCAAAGTTATGTTTTACCTGCCACCTGGCTATGCGCTGATTGTTTAAACGATGATATGAGTGCTGAACTTACACCGTCGCGCAATATCACGACTACCAGAGGGAATAAAAAACAACCTCCACAAACGTCTTCATATTTTAATATATCCTCGGAAGATGTTCGCTCGATGATACAGGAAACCTTGAAAAACGAACTCAAGGCACAGCTATCTATATTCAGTGACCTTCTTAATAGTAACTTGAGCAGAGAATTGCATCCGATCAAGGAACAAATGGAGCAAATGAATGATTCGATGACTTATATGAACAATCAGTATGAAGACCTTCTTAAGGAGTATTCAACCTGCAAGGAAGAACTAAAAGTACTACAGGTGGAAAACTCTAGTATGAAGAATACTATAACTGATTTAAATGCGAGACTTAATCAACTAGAACAACAAACCCGCTCGAACAATATCGAAATACAATGTCTGCCAGAAAAAAAACAAGAAAATCTTCTCGAAGTTGTGACTGAGCTATCAAAGGTTGTCGGATGTAGCATTGAGCCCCGAGACATCATGCATTGCACTAGAGTGGCTAAGCTCAACCCCAAAAATCCCCGCCCGAGATCAATAGTGGTCCAACTTGCCTCTCCGCGCATCCGGGATCAGCTCCTTGCAGCCACTATCACCTACAACAAATCAAATGTGGAAAGTAAATTGAATACTACTCACTTGGGATACTTAGGACCTAAAACGCCAATTTTTGTATCAGAACATCTATCTGCTAACAACAGGGCTTTACACACCGCAGCAAAAATTAAGGCCAAGGAGATTGGTTACCAATACGTCTGGATTAGGGGAGGTCGAATTTACATGAGGAAGACTCAGGAAGCGGAACATATCCTAATTAGAGATATGGACACCCTACTGAAATTGAATAAATAATGAACTTTCTGTCAAGGTATACTTAGTTGTTTTTATTTTTACTTTAGTTTATTAGTATAGTTATTTTTTTTTTATGTTTCTGTTTTTATTCATTCTGTAAATTAAATTCAACACATTAAAATTATATTATCAAAATACTCGAGGCTTACGTACAAAAACACATGAATTTCATCAGCAATTATCTTGTGAAATGTACGACATCATAATCCTAACAGAGACATGGCTGAACAGTTCTGTCAGAAGCGCGGAGCTATTCGATGATAGATATTTTGTGTATAGAAGAGATAGACATGGTAGGAAAAAGGATGGAGGCGGAGTACTGATAGCTGTGTCAAAGAAAATAAAGTCAAAACGTATGTGGCAATGGGAAAGTCAATGTGAGGATCTCTGGGTCATGGTTGATGTACCTATTGCAAAGTCAATACGTCAAATAGCTCTGTGTACAGTTTACCTACCACCGCCGGTGACCCGTTCAACTTTAGAACCTTTTCTGGACCGCTGCAACACTATATTTGAACAATCAAACCTGTATACATGTGTAGTCGGAGATTTCAATCTGGCTTGTATCAACTGGAGCTTGGTAAGTGACTCTGATAGTGTGTATTCGCCACCGGGCATCAGCCACTTACTGACTGACTTTACTTACATTAACAGACTCAAACAACTTAACGAGGTTACTAATAATTCTGGGCGTATACTAGACCTGGTTTTGACTAACTTACCTTCTAACAGCGTGTGCGCTGCTCCAAACCCTTTGAGCGTTGTCGATACTTTACACCCCCCTCTTGAAATTTTCATTAAATCGACTGTCGACGCCAGACTTCCTTATGACAACAGCACTCCCAAACCTAATTATTTTAAACTGAATTACGAAAGCATTTGTAAACAACTAGATTTTGTCGACTGGCAACATAAATTGGAAGGATTGACAAATGTCAATGAAATGATTAGTGTTTTTTATGACGTCATAGAGTGTATTATTAATAACCATATATCTACCAAAGGCGCACCAAAAAGAAAATTTCCTGCTTGGTTCGACAAAAGTTTAATAAGAACGCTTAAAGAAAAGGAAAAGGTAAGAAAACGCTACAAAGTCTACAAAAATCCCATGGACGCACTGGAACTAAAGCTGCTAAGCAAGCGTTGTTCAATAATGTCAACTAACTGTTATAATAATTACATTGAAAATATAGAAATAGAAATAGCGAAGAATCCAAAGAAGTTCTGGACCTATATTAAAGGCAAACGAGGCGGCACTAGTTCCTTTCCCCTGTCAATGACTAACAATATTAGCACCACTTCTAACGGCAATGAAATCTGTGAAATGTTTGCTACTCATTTTTATTCTTCTTTTAACGATCGACAAATGACAAGAGGTATCCCAAACTCAGATTACTTGAAAAACATTAAAAACAATAGTTTGCCTTTGACAGTTCCTATCATTGAGCAAGAGACTATATTAAATTGCCTTAAGTCTCTGGATCATCGTAAAGGTGCTGGCCCTGATGGGATTCCTCCAATCTTTTTAATTAATTGCGCTTCTTATCTAGCTCTTCCTTTATCTGTAATTTACAACATGTCTCTTACTACTGGCACCTTTCCAGATCTTTGGAAAAAGGCTAAAGTTGTACCCATTCATAAATCCAACGACAACGATCATGTGGCTAACTACAGACCTATTTCTGTTTTATCAACCCTAGCTAAAGTGTTTGAATCACTTATATGCCCATACGTACAATCGCATTTAGCACTATACTTAAGTAACTCTCAACACGGCTTTGTGGGAGCCAGGTCTACCTGCACAAATCTGGTTAGCTTTACCGAGACGTTGGTGGAAGCTGTGGACTGCGGTGAGGAAGTGGACGTCATATACACCGATTTTTCTAAAGCCTTTGATCGAGTTCCACACTCCTTCCTATTAGAAAAGTTATTAGCATATGGAATCACCGGTACCCTCCTGAATTGGATAAAATCTTACCTTGACAGTCGCTCTTTCTTCGTGGCGGTAAACGGTTTTCAATCTAGCGTACACAAAATTATTTCTGGTGTCCCGCAAGGTTCTCACATTGGTCCCATTTTATTCAATTACTTTGTTAACGATATCCCTTGCAGTATTAATTACTCTGAGATTTTCATGTACGCAGATGATCTTAAATTGTGTAGAGTTGTTAAAACAAACGACGACATAGATCTACTTCAGAATGATATTGACGCATTGGTAGAATGGTGCAACATTAATGAAATGAGCATGAATATCAATAAATGTTTTCATATAAAATTTTCTAAAAAAATTAACTCTCTAAAATCTGTTTATCGTATTGGCCACAATGCTTTACAAAGCGTCAACGAAATTAGGGACTTGGGTGTTACTTTTGACAGTAAGCTCACATTTGTACCACACGTAGAAACTACAGTGAAAAAAGCTTCAAGAATGCTAGGTTTCGTCTTAAGAAATGCCGTTAAGTTTCGATGTAATAAAACTTAAATTCTTTTATATAACTGCCTAGTACGTGGCATTCTGGAGTACTGTAGCCCTGTATGGAGACCACATTATGCGACTCATAAATTAAGACTGGAGCGTATACAGAAGAGGTTCTGGCACCTAGCATATGCCTCTGGTGTAGCTAAAAAGATAAAATCTTATGAAGCGAGATTGATAAAATTTAAGTTACACACACTAGAAAAACGAAGGAATATAATTGACTTGTTATTTTTATACAAGCTTCTGAGACAAAGGGTAGATTGTCCGCAACTCTTAGGTAAAATAAAGTTCCATGCTCCAGCTAGACATCCTCGTTTTCCTATCAACCCCCTGCATCCTCCAATTCGCAGAAGTATTCTCGGTGCGAACTCCACCATCCCACGACTTTGCAAACTGCTCAATAGTTGCAGTGCCCTGGTTGATATACATGTTGACTCACTTACCAAATTCCGCAGTGCTATACAAAATGCTTTTTAAATGTACTTTACTTAATTCTATCTGTTTTTGCCAAAACCTAGTTGTATAATTTAGTATATTTAAGCATAAAATAATTATTGTTTATAGCACATGAGGTGCTTACCTATAAGTAATTGTAACACTATGCCACTTCATACTCATTGTAATATGTCTTTCAAATGATAACCAGTGTATACAATTGTTGGTGAGCCAATTAAATAAATAAATAAATAAATAAATACCACTTCTGATTGAAGCTGATAATAGTTTTTTTTTTATGAATTTACGTAATTTATAGTAGTAATAATTCCCAGTATTTAGTATTTAAGTACCTATTTACGGGAATCTATTAACATCATGTTGATACATCTAAAATTATATTTTCAGAACCATAACTTAAATTAAGCTGAGGTATTAGTCAGATATTGACATTATCATTCGAATAATGTGTTTAATTATTTTCTATTTATTTTAGCTCTGGATAAACCATTCGCCGAGCTGCCATGTCTGACGATTGGAGGTATTTGCGCAGGAGAATACAACTGTCCCAAAAATTCCAGGGTACCTATCAAAGGTCTATGTCCTTTGCAACAAAAAGAAGGAATTGAGTGCTGTAAACCTGGTTCGTTAAATTTCACTGACTTTGGAATTAATTTTGACCCTACAAATATTAAGATCTTTGTTGGGTTATTTGTTAATTATAAAATAGAGTTCAAGCTCCCTTTTCTGATGATAGATTAGTCAATATAAGCAAACAACATTTAAAAAATCTCGGTTCAGTTATTACGTATAGGCCAGAAGTTGAAACCACCAGGGAAAAATGACATTTTTATTTAAACAAAACACGTAGCATATGTCATTCTGGTGAGGAACGTGAAGTGCGAATACGAAATTACGAAATCTCTCGGGCACAATTCGCTTAGTATTGAACACTTACAATGTGACCGACAAAATACGAGGCAGGGGCATATATACGGGGCATAGGTACTTGAGCAATGTTTTAGGTGTATGCCTAATACTACATTTAGTTCAAAAAGGGAAAACTTCGTCATTTATGAGCCCATTTGATTGATAGATGAGTTAAGTGCAAGTTACACACACAGACACACACAAATAATCGTGTTTATCATACGATTCTATTTGTTCGTGTGGTTACGGAGTAAGAATACGGAATGTCACCATCTCTATTCACCCATGGGTGTCGTAATAGCTGACTAAGGGAGCAAACTACGCAGGACAACAGCACTGGAAAAAGAAGGAAAACTTAACACAAGACCTATACTAACCCGTCTGACCAGCGTGGTACAGTAGGCCAAAACCTCCTATCTAAGGAGAGGCCTATGTCCAGTAGTGGACTATAAAAGGCTGTTGAAGTGATGTGATATAACAACGTTATCAAAATATTTGTTGAGTTGCTACATGTCAATGGTCGACCCGTCCGCTCGTCTGCACCCTCTAAAATAAAAAATAAATAAAAAAAAACAAATTATAAATATATATTTGAATCAAATCCACGACGTCTAGCTTAGCAGTTAGAATCTCTAACTCCTAAATCAATAGGCCGGTGAAATGGATTTATTACACTCAATCGATTTTTGAAGCATTTATAGATAAGTTGTATTAAAAGGTTCAGAAAATGGTAGATGTAACTGACCAGTTGAATATGTTTTCAGAGAATCCTATACTAAGATGTCGTTCAAGAGGCGGTAACTGTGAATCAATTGAAGATATTCAATGCCCTCAATTTTTAACAGTCAAGGAAGCTACGGATTGTGGAAGGAATGAAGTATGTTGTATTTTAATAAAATAAAATACTTTAATCCTTTTTATAAAATGACATTTTATTTCATATCTCTATGTGTACACTTACGGCTATTTTCCGAAGGCAAAAGAGTCGTCATCATCATCAGCATCCTATCGCAGTCCACTACTAGACATAGGCCTCTCAGATTGCACGCCACTTAGATCGATTTTGGGCTTCTCGCATCCAGCTCCTGCCAGCCATCTTGAAATCGAATCGTCACTCCACCTGGCCTGGCAAAAGAGTGTATAACGCCCACATTTGCCCATTCTCACAATTTGAGGCAGTCTTATTGCTATTGAGGCAGTTATATTGCTGGATATTTTAGGAATTTGATGGGGAAATTAGAAATGTATTCGTACAAAAGGTGGAATAACAAGACAAGGCAAGGGAAAAAAGAGATTTTGTGAAATTTGTGTAAGTAAGGGAGTGTAAGGAATAGCGTGAGCAAGTCAATCAGTCAGATAAATATTATTTTTTTTTTCGGACATCAATAATATTGTTACGAGCTGGGTATATATTATAAATAAAAAAAGTTGTTGGTTAATTACTTTATTTCACTTTATTTCAAACACTCACTACTAGGAATCACTATATTTATATCTTTTTAGCCGCACTGGAAATTCATTCCGATGTTAATTCGCCGTGTCGTAAAACGAAGCTGTGTCAAACGGCCAACACACTCCGCTTTTATTACGCTTTTGAATTTTACTAGAAAGCCTCCAGATTTCATACAATCATACCATTTAATCCTATTACGCAACAATATATTATTTTCGGACATCTGACACACAACGCCATCTAGTTTCAAACTAAGCAACGCTTGTACTATAAAATCTAAATTGACTGATAGAATTCTTATCTACTATTTTTTCGTAAATAACCCAAACTCCGAAGCAAATATTTGCCGATCAAATAAACATTTGATCCCACCCGGTTATCGTACTCATCAGAACAGTCGCGTACGCTACCACTGCACCAATGAGGCAGTCAATTCAATTTATTGAAAAATGATTATAATTACGAAAGTCTGATTTGATTATCTAAATAAATACTCATGTGAAGTGAGAATTTTATGAGATTTTAGACTTTAATCACTGGGAACAAGGGTTATATTAAAAACTCGTTGCAATTTTCAATGGTTTGGAGATATGCTCCGGCTACTAAGACCTTTTATTTTATGAGATTTTTCTTAAAAGTGGTTTAATGAATTAACCTTTGAAGGCATGTAGTTAACTGTCAGTAGAATTTGTCAGTCGTTGTTTTCTTGGTATGTTGGAAGAAACCTTCTACCAGCATACATTGAAATCCGATACTGATTTTATGCCAGAAACTTTTTTTCTTTGTTTTGTTGTTTTTCTTTTAATAAATTAAAGTACAGTAAATCTCTTCTCATTCTCGGAAACTTTGTGATAAGTTGTAGTTTTTAGTAGAACAGTTTTTGTTTGTTCAGATGCTTGTGTTTCGTAAACTAATTATTTTTGTGGTGCTTAAAAAACATTTCAAGTGTTCTTTTTCTATTTTAAATACTTCACGTAATCTAGTCCGCAAATCTGATAAAAATAGTTACTGTAGCATTACTATTCCATTGCAGGTACAGTGTGATAGTTGATAGCCACAATCTAGTGTAATAGACCACTGTCTTTTAAAATTTCAGGCCGAACGTACAAGGATGCAACCGTGACCTCCTTACTACATCACTCATAATCCTGTTTTCCCATCCGATACTAGCCGTATCCCTTGCACGCTATATGTTTTTACTTGTCCAGAATTTCCCTTCTCCAAATACCGTTTAAAAACGGCCAAGGAGTTGGCGACAGGCAAGTGACTGATTACAAAACAAAACAACCAAAACCCTTTATAAATTTTTTCAAACTTTATTGCGCCGAGCCAAAAAATACCATTCTTAAGAATCTCTTGGTATCTCAATACATTTAATAAAAGCGACACCGCGCTCTAAATCTAGTAATTAATATCCCTTCATTATACCACGAAGCTTCTTCGTAAGTATTACAAATACATGAACATCACCTGTTGTAAAACAAACAGTATAATAACAAATACATTCGGGTGTGCCGTGTTACGTATTGTGCGGTCGAAGCAACGGGAACACGCAATTTGCTTATTTTATTACAACACGGGACAAATAAAATGTCCTATTTTGTAATTTGTTTTGAATTGGAATCTGATTGCACAAATCATTATACGAGCAGCTTAAAAACAGATGAAAAGGTATAAAGTAAGTATGTTGCGACTGCGATTTAACTAAACGCACTACAATGGGCAACAGCGCGGCGTGCGGGGGGACTACCCGGACGTGTGCGACGAGTGGGGGACCGAGCCGGGAGGAGCAGAGGATATAAAACAGCCGTTGCTCGCCTTGGGACATCACCGTGGACGGTCCGACTTCAACCTCACACTACATATCGTATAAAGACCTGGCGATTAAAATACCAGTTATACAGTCCACTGCCATTTTATTTACGTCCCCTGGACCCTTAACAAAGTACTTTATTATGAACTTTCGTTTTGGAAAGAATAACAACAAAAATAAATAATTCTATATTCTATTTTTCTTACTGCAGAAATGTTTCATTTTATTTGTATGTTATAAAAACTTGTGTTCTGAACGTCAAATAGTAATCGTCAACAAACTTAATCTGAAGTTTTTATTCCAATTTTGAAAGCTTTTCGACTTCCGTTCATAAATAAATAAATCATGTTACAATCATAGTCAAGTAGATAGCCAAAAGATTTGCAACCATTGGCGTTACGTAGAGATGTAGCTTCGCTCTATCTATCTATCTATCATGGAGAGTACTCCGAGGAATTGTTCGGACTAATACAGGCCGCAACCTTCCGCCATCGTTCTGCACGGCAAAATTTTCATCCCCACAACTTGGATAATTGGCGCTCCACCACTGTGCGCTTTTCAAGACACTTTTTGCCTCGCACTACCAACCTGTGGAACAAATTATCTGCTGCGGTAATTCCGGACCGATACGACCTTCAAACCTTAAAAAAAAGAGCATACTCCTTCCTCAAATGCTGGCAACGCGCTTGTGACTCCTGAGTTGCAGGCGTTCATCGGCGGCGGTAGTCGCTTTCTATCAGGTTACCCGTCCGATCGTTTGCAACCTATTATTTTTTTATGGTATAAGGAGGCAAACGAGCATACGGGTCACCTGATGGTAAGCAACTACCGTCGCCCATGGACACCAGCAACTCCAAAGTCACAAGTGCGTTGCTGCCCTTGGAGTCCCTTCCACTCGAGGCAGCGGGAGGGGGGATTTGTCAGTCAAACAGTTTATATTTCATAAACTGTCATTTATTTCTAAATGGCTGTTGAACTGTTCACAATAAATCTCTACGGCATTATAACGATGTTAAGATGCATTTGTATGAAATTTTGCTGAAGAAAATACTGTTATTTTTGATAATTTATGGCCATAGTCGGTACCAATAGAAAATACCTATTATTATATAATTATGTTAGGAGACAATTTTAAAATCATTTTTCTTTTAGTCTATGCCTAGTTATTTCCGCTTCAAGTGTAATGAACAAACAATACCTGCAACAAATCTTGTGTGTGTGAAACACTAAATACGTGACTGTGTATTATTTTGTAATCTATACGTCAGAAGCCTGAGTGGTGCTTTGTACTAAGTCTATTGTGTTTGTTTTAACAAATACTCGTATATATAAAGTAAAAGCAACTAATGTATCTTTAATAAGACTTAGTGGTTGTGGGAGAAAGGTTTAAAGGTAAGCTTTTAAATAATACTCGTACTTATAATATGAAATATACCTACACAGAAAGTACGTATATCTATCGACTATCTCTATACATTTTGGGACGAGCAGACATGTCATCTAATCATCAGCATCTGATCGAGTCCCCCCTTACCCCAGAGTTAGGAGTGGACCTCCCGTAACCTAACACACTCAGAACAAAAGAATTGCTTAGTACAGGTTTTTTAACCGACTTCAAAAAGGAGGAGATTATCAATTCGGATGTTTATGTATTTTTTTGCATGTTCGGGCATAATTCCGTCAGATTTAGACGGATTTACAAAATTCTTTTTTTTTTGTTCGAAAGGGGTTTATTCCAAAATGGTCCTATTTAAATTTCACATAGCTGATGAGTTTCGGAGACAGACAACAGAACTCTACAAAAAAAAACAGCAAATCAACTGCGATTACTGCTAAGTTTTTGGCGGTCTTTGTTAATATTGTTTGAAGTCGGGTTAACTTTTTTTTAAAGTTTTTGTGAGGGCACTTCAGTATCACTCCAGCCGAGCCATTCCATTATTATGTGCCGAAGCATGACTCTTCAACAACAAAAAAAAACAACATTACTACATTTTAAAATCTAAAAGAATTTCAGTAAACATTTTCATAGACCAGTACGTTATTCACATCAAAGAGGTTGTTATGCTCGACTTTTTGGATCGCATTCACTCTGCAAAGGATATAGTTGTCGACATACTCAACTATATCACAGATATTGAGCTGAAAAACAGAACAGCTTGAGTATTCCATTACTCTCCGGGGTAATATTTATACTTGTCAAAACGGCTACGCATTTAGTTTATTTGAACAAATGTAGTGTACGTAAATTAATTAATAATACACGTTATTTGTTTAACGTTGATGTGTACATTACTTTGGATTGAAAATATTTAATCCATAAAGATTAAAACATGTAATGTATGTCAAGGAATTGAAGTTGACAATGGCTTTAATGTCGGCATTAAATAATTTCCTGTACTTAATTTATTAACACGTTTTATTATCATCGTCAATGACAAAAGCGACTCTTTATGATTAAGATAAGGTTCTATTTAGTTTTGAATCCTTTTATTAATGACGAAGTGCCATTCTTCGATTGTGTTATCGACAGAAAATTTTGTACAGGTGTTCGAGGTACCTGTGTAAACTAAATTTACCGGATTGATAAGGCCTCATAGTGAACCAGTTTTAAACAATTCTTTTTTGCATTTCACCGACCGATGTTGTCGGATGCCCAGTTCCGCTCTAGATTTTAAGCAGCTTAAACAGTTGTACTTCACTTTACAAGAAACTTTTTGCCTCGTAAATCCTATGTACACTGCAACCTTCATTCAATTCCTTAGTAAGAGGAATGTATTCCAAAACAACATTTGTCCGTGTCACCACCCCTATTCATTGCGTGGGTGTCCTAAGAGCCGACTAAGAGAACAAACTACGCAGCAGAACAGCACAGCAAAGAGAACGAAAACTTGACACAAATCCAATAACAAACCCGTCTGGCCAGCGTGGTATAGTAGGCCAAAACATCCATTCTAAGGAGGGGCCTATGTCCAGCAGTGCCGAATTAAAGGCTGTTGATGTTATTTGATTTTAAAAGAAAGGCCATCAACCACTTATTTATTTTGAATGCAAATTAAAAGTGTTCGTGGGCGGTGATAGTCACTTATAATCAATTAACCTTAGTTATTTGCTCTTTGTGTCACAAAAATGTTTTTTTTTTAATTAATAAATGATAAGTGATAGCGTCCTACTGCTTAAAGACTAATCAAAAAGTAAATTAAAACAGAAATCAAATTACTTTTGTTAAAAAGATACACTAGAATAATAAGTTAATAATAATAATGACGATCCTGGATTAAGTTAACAACACAGTTTTTATAAAAGATATAACTGTAACAGTATGTTTCGAACACAATCTCCTCACGACACACACAGAAAAGATGTCATTACATTTATTTAGTCACTGAAATAAAAAGGCAATGACAGGATCAAATCGTGACCATTGTGATGTTTACAACTGTTGTAGTGATAAAGACTTCAAGATAGCTTCAACACACTAGAAATACCGAAATCCACCCTCACACTCATTCAAAAAGCATTCCTTCTCTACACATACTCTCACACGCAAATTCCTCGCTTCATCCTTATCCTACTTCACATCATCCCCTTCTGGCACACTTTTATAAGGCCCATGTGTTAGATTTTGCTATCCTTTTACAGTAAAAGGAAGACAAAAAAAAACGAGTGGGCTTTAGACACGACTGAAGTAAAACTTCTTGGCTATGATAGAAAGAGAAAAAGAAAATGTGTGCTCGCATCTCTTTCTCTCTTGCAGCTACAGTAATTTTGCTCTTCCCCCGGACCGCCGTAAGGTGTTAACGTGTTCACTAACTTTGCGACTTACTTTTTTGCTAATTTAAATCGTTTTTTTAAGCAATAAATTCAGTTAGCAATAATAGGAGTGCAGAAGTTCTAAAGAAGTGGTGTGATAACACAAGAATTTTCGGTGCCCATATCGAGATTACAACTGCTGCCTGCGTGTGCGCCTGGTACCTCACCTGGCCAAATCAGCGAATCACCGCCCCCACACTCAAGTAAGACCGCCTGCTTATTACTCATCTGAACTGCGCTGGAGCATCGACCACGCCCCCCGTGCCAAGGATCGAAGCACCGACTACCCCGCCCTTTTCTAGGCGCACCCCTATCCGCACAGGGTCATTAACGAGGACACTTCCTATTGGACAGCGGAAGGAAGGAGAAATATTTCTTTGTGTTTATATTTCTGTCTATTTTATTGTTGTGAACGGGTATTATGACTTCGCCGATAAACAAATCTACCTCCGAATCTGCGATTAATATTGCGGGGAAGGATGGTGAAAAATCATCAAACAATTATGTATTTCAAAGAACTAAGAGACAACGGGAGGAAATAGACATTGCTGAACAGTTAGATAACTTTAAGAAGGAGATGAAAGAAATGATGTCTGCTTTCCTAACAAAACAAATTAATGAGTCCCAACAACTCTCTGAAACCCTAAAAGAAATCCAACAAACGAACTTTAACATAGAAAGTTCAGTCACTTTCCTCATGTCTCAGAACCAAGATCTAGAAAATAAAATATCTCAGTTAGAAAGCCAGGGGAAAGAAGATAAGAAATACATCGCTCTTTTAGAGAAAAAAATAGAGGATATGGAAACAGGTAATCGTAAAACTAATTTTGTAATAAAAAATGTTCCGAGAGCTTCCGGTGAGTCTAAGCAGGACTTAATTAGCATGGTTATGTGCCTTTCGCAGGAAATAGACTGCCCCGTAGCTAAGTGCGATATTAAGGACATTTATAGATTGCGTGGAAAAACCAACGACAACACGAGTACACCAATCATAGTAGAAACTGGTTCCACTATCTTAAAAAATGATATACTCAAATCTAGCAAGACTTTTAACATTAAACACAAATCTAAGCTGTGCTGTAAGCATCTCGGCCTGATGACGCACACAGATACACCCATTTTCTTATCGGAACACTTGACTAATAAGGGATCTCGCCTATATTTTCTTGCTCGAGACCTAGCAAAGTCAGGATCGTATAAATATTGCTGGACCGCCTATGGCAAGGTTTACATAAGGAAGGACGACCACGCCCCAATAATAACCTTAACAAGTGAAGAACAAATTCATCAACTTATGGCTAAAGCATGACTAAATTATAATAATTATTATTTCTGCCTACAATATATATATACTCGTAAATGCACTGAAATTAAGTTGTCATTAGCTTGTCTATTAATTGAAATATTATCATACCTGCCCCTTGTCATATGTTTTTACACATTTTTAATATATTTAATTTCCGTCATACCAGTACAAACACCCCATTATTATCCTAAACATGTAAAATCAAATACCTCTATAGACACCTACACATACAAACCCTACACTGAACAAATCAGCTCCGTTATACACACATTCCCTATATTTGGATTGCACGTATATCGCACTTACCTATTTTCTTTACAAACATTGAATTTCAAATCTAATATTTTCGTGACCTATAATAACATAAACACTTATAAAACAAACATATCAAAAAACAGAATAAATGTCCATACGGCTAATATATCTATTAATACAATAACATATAATCAACAAAAACTACTTATACCCTACACAAATATAAAACGAGCCTTCTTTTCCCTTATGTATGACATAAGTTACATAATTCATATATACAACTACCATAAAACAACTACTATTCGATATCTAAAACATTCTAATGGGTGACGCATTACAAACAGTGAAAGAAATAGACAAAATTGAAATCTCTAGTTCAATTGAATGTGACTGCTCGAATCTTACTGAACACATTGTTGTAAAGAAAAACGATTGTACCATATTTTCTCAGAATATCAGGAGCATATACCGTAACTTCGATGATTTTGCAGTAATGTTATCGACTTTTAAATTCGAGCCCGATGTAATAATTTTGACCGAGTGTAGATTAAGCAATAATAAGCCTATTCCGCAACTCAATAACTATAATTCCTTTACAACAACACGGCAAATTAACCAAAACGATGGAGTTGCTGTGTATGTAAAAAATACTCTCAAACCAAAAATTCAAGAAATACAACTCTCACAGGCGTCATGTCTTCAGATTGATATCCTTAATAATGTTGCCCTAGGTATATACCGATCTCCTTCAAATACAAACATTGACAGCTTTATTGACTCACTCAGCACACACTTAGATAAAATAGCCACACAAAAGAATTTAATAATAGCTGGAGATATTAACATTAATATTAGGCCCAAAGAAACTGAAGCGCCCCATGAAAACAAAAACCGTCTACAGTACCTTAACATGCTGTCGACTTATGGTATATTACCTGGTCACATTTTACCGACTAGAGAACGGAACTGCCTGGATCATTTTATGCTGAGAATCAATAGAAAGAGGACATCTGCCTCTGTTGCTATTTTACAAACCACAGTAACTGATCATTTCACTACATTTTTATCACTATCCAAAATAAAAAATAAAGAATCTGTAACTAAGATCACCACCACTATACATTACGAACTAGCGCTGAAGTACTTACAAGAAAAAAACATCTCAGACTTACTTTTCTGTGACGATCCTAACTTACTTACTGACCTCCTCATACAGAAATTAACTGACGCCATCAAAACAAACTCAACAACTACAAACATTCCAAACAGCAAACGCATAATCAAGCCATGGATCACCCCAGGCATACTCAGATGTATTAAAAACATAAACAAACTACAAAAAAACTCTAGATGTGACCCACATAATACAATCATAAAAATAACATATTGTCGTTATAGAAATTACTGCAATAATTTAATCAAAAAATTAAAAAGGACATACGAAAGAGAATTATTAACTAAGTCTATAACAAACACAAAGCTACTCTGGAAAAATGTTAAATCTATAACTTACACAAATAAACAAATAAACCAAAGTACAGAACTATTAAGCGTTAAGACATCTCCACATGAATCAATAAATTTTGTAAATGAATACTTTATGAACATTGGAAAAGATTTAGCTAAAAAAATTCAGCCTCGGCCAAATAATATGTCTACTGAACAACCCAGTACCTCTCCACAAATGAACTCTTTTGTATTATTAGATACTGATACAGCAGAAGTGGAAAGAACTCTGAACAGCTTGAAATTGAATAGTGCCCCAGGATGGGACAATGTTACACCTAGA